ATAACTGTTACATAACTACTGTTACATAAACTAAACAATAAGAGCTGAAACAAAGAGCAGATAAGGCAGATAATAGATAAAATGCCATAAACGCGGAATAAATAGATAATAGATAGAGAGGAGAGAGACAGAGCGCGACATGTTCTGGTAACACACCATTCAACTTCGCGCCGCCAATTACGAGGCTAGTCTATTTGGCGATTAATTAGCGGTTAATTGGCGGTCATCTAAATCATTTTTAGGCCCCACTGAGCTTGTGTGATTTTTACCCCGGAGAATTTTTGTGTGTGTGTGTGTGTGTGTGTGTGTGTGTGTGTATTATATATGTGATTATGTGATTGTGATTATGTGATTGTGTGTGTGTGATTGTATATGTGATTGTGTGTGTGATTGTGATTAGTATGTGAATGTGTGTGATTGTGTATGTGATTGTGTGTGTATGATTGTGTGTGTGTGTGTGAAAGTATGCATATGGTGTGTGTGTGTGCGTGTGTGTGTGTGTGTGTGTTGTGTGTGTGTGTGTGTGTGTGTGTGTGAAAATGTGTGTGAGATAATATAAATGATAATCATTCGTGGATTCATCATCCGGATGATAAAGATAACAGCCGCTGCGTCATCCGGATGATAAAGATAACAGCCACTGCGTCATCATCCGGATGATAAAGATAACAGCCACTGAGTCATCATCCGGATGATAAAGATAACAGCCACTGAGTCATCATCCGGATGATAAAGGTAACAGCCACTGAGTCATCATCCGGATGATAAAGATAACAGCCACTGAGTCATCATCCGGATGATAAAGATAACAGCCACTGAGTCATCATCCGGATGATAAAGGTAACAGCCACTGAGTCATCATCCGGATGATAAAGATAACAGCCACTGAGTCATCATCCGGATGATAAAGATAACAGCCACTGAGTCATCATCCGGATGATAAAGATAACAGCCACTGAGTCATCATCCGGATGATAAAGATAACAGCCACTGAGTCATCATCCGGATGATAAAGATAACAGCCACTGAGTCATCATCCGGATGATAAAGATAACAGCCGCTGCGTCATCATCCGGATGATAAAGGTAACAGCCACTGAGTCATCATCCGGATGATAAAGATAACAGCCACTGAGTCATCATCCGGATGATAAAGGTAACAGCCACTGAGTCATCCGGATGATAAAGATAACAGCCACTGAGTCATCATCCGGATGATAAAGGTAACAGCCACTGAGTCATCCGGATGATAAAGATAACAGCCACTGAGTCATCACCCGGATGATAAAGATAACAGCCACTGAGTCATCCGGATGATAAAGATAACAGTCACTGCGTCATCATCCGGATGATAAAGATAGCCACTGCGTCATCCGGATGATAAAGATAACAGCCACTGAGTCATCACCCGGATGATAAAGATAACAGCCACTGAGTCATCCGGATGATAAAGATAACAGTCACTGCGTCATCATCCGGATGATAAAGATAGCCGCTGCGTCATCCGGATGATAAAGATAACAGCCGCTGCGTCATCCGGATAAAGATAACAGCCACTGCGTCATCCGGATGATAAAGATAACAGCCTCTGCGTCATCCGGATGATAAAGATAGCCACTGCGTCATCATGCGGATGATAAAGATAGCCACTGCGTCATCATCCGGATGATAAAGATAGCCACTGCGTCATCATCCGGATGATTAAGATAGCCACTGCGTCATCATCCGGATGATAAAGATAGCCACTGCGTCATCCGGATGATAAAGATAGCCACTGCGTCATCCGGATGATAAAGATAGCCACTGCGTCATCCGGATGATAAAGATAACAGCCACTGCGTCATCCGGATGATAAAGATAGCCACTGCGTCATCCGGATGATAAAGATAGCCACTGCGTCATCATTCTACCCAACACAAAAATCTGTTAATATTGCATAAACAGATGTTTCAGTAGATGGAGACTTACTTAATTTTTTAGCTATCAGACTTTAACTGGAAACTGCTGATAATTAACGATTTTTTCGGACTATTTCCTGCTTAACACTAAAATTAAAATGTTTCGACCAAAAATCCATTATTTCAGTCAAAAATACTCTCACATTTTGTTCTCTCTAAAATTGTCGCTTCTTGTCCACCAAAATGAGAGATGAGGAACTGTGTAATAATAATTATTGTTATTATTGGGGAGCATTATACCCGGGGGGACCAAATATCACCTGGGGAGGGGGAGGTAATCACGTGTGATCTCAGGAAGGGAAGGGTAATATCAGTTCCTTGGATCACGAACCCTTCAGCGTCAAGAATATGTATGATCTTAGTAAATTTAGAGGCGGCAAGTATATTTTCACGTACATTTTTTTAAATGATCTGAAAAAAATCAGTGATTTTTAGTTCATTTTATCTCTATAGTTCATCTCGGTTTCTTTATTATTTTTCATTACTTTTAGTTCATAATTCACTGTGTGATTTTCTGCGTTGTTTACCGCTTCGCTCTTTGTGGTTTACAAATTTGACTTCGAGTTTGTGACTCGGTATAAGAGAACGGAGGTTCGAGCCGCCTCCTAGGGCATGTTATGGGTCGTAGAACATGTCGGGTGTCCTGAGGTATGTTGGGGTTGTAGAACATGTCGGGTGTCCTGAGTATGTTTGGGGTTAGAAACATGATCGGTGTCCTGAGGTATGTTGGGGTTGTAGAACATGTCGGGTGTCCTGAGGTATGTTGGGGTTGTAGAACATGTCGGGTGTCCTGAGGTATGTTGGGGTTGTAGAACATGTCGGGTGTCCTGAGGTATGTTGGGGTTGTAGAACATGTTGGGTGTCCTGAGGTATGTTGGGGTTGTAGAACATGTCGGGTGTCCTGAGGTATGTTGGGGTTGTAGAACATGTCGGGTGTCCTGAGGTATGTTGGGGTTGTAGAACATGTCGGGTGTCCTGAGGTATGTTGGGGTCCCGGTAATGAAAGTACTCAGGACCCAGGTTGAGATGAAGCTCTGCTACGTTCATTTATCATAACATTCTCCTAGTCATGTTTATGCTCGTGGCAACAAGAATAAAGCCACAACCTGCAGAACAGGATTTTGTGGATGCGCGTTGCTTCAGGGAATCGTCATTGTGAAATTCTTCCACAGTGCTATAGACCACGACACACTACTCGCTTCCTTGACTTAAGACTCGCTTCAGGAGACAGTTGTCCTGTTTCCCTATGAACCTTAATCACCTTGCTTGCCGGGGCTCCCACCTTCCCCTGTGTTTTAATTCCTAACTGCCCATCCGTGTTTATTCCCGTCTTGTAGAGTCTCGTTCATGATATATGGAGTAATTAAGGATTTTATTAAAATATATTCCAGCCCCTTTTTTTTAATCTTTTATCAGTCTGTATCTTTATGGGCCGTTTATGTTAATGCATTTTTTGGTTTTTAGAGTTTTTAACATGGGTATATATAGGGTATTGTGTGTATGGTAATGTGACTATATTTTTAATGTTACAGAGCGCTCAGTGATCACTGGCGCTCCGCGTTCTACAAAATTCACAACATTCTTTTTTTTTCAGTAATAAAAATTGGTCAACTCTTTCATTGGCATCTCATTAATGTTCATACTGGACTCAAAATGCCTGCATCACCTGCAGACATATCCATTTCTTTATTCCCGCTCGTAAATAGTGTATTACATCCATTATGGAAGTTAGCACCGGTACCCAGGGGGACTTTTGTCACCCTCTGTGTTTTGTGTAGATTTTTAGTACGTGTTTATATTTTTCGGGGTTTGCTTTTGGAAAGACAAACTGTGAGTTATATAGTGTGATGCATAACAACACTGCGCTAGCCAAGGATTCGAACCCATGTTGTACTGGCCTGCCTCATGGTAAACGAGAACCACATGACGCTTTAAAAAATGGCGTAGCCAGCACACAGCTTATCCTTGGCTAGTGCAGTGTGTTATGATCATACATGTCGATACAATATCATTAGTGCTGTCGTAGTATACACACAGTAGAAAATATTAAGTATGATGTGATGCGATTGGTGTTTTCTTGAGGGTTGGTGGACTGTGTAATCCATGTGTTCCTCCGCTACCCATGGGCACCGTCCATGGGTTCGAACCTGCTAGCGCAGTGTTGGTTGTTGATCATACCAAAGTTCGGTACAGAAAAGTGTGATGCGTGGTTCATGAATGTGTGCATCCACGTTGGTGACTCTCCCACCCCAAGTGGCACCCCGGTGGTGACTCCCCCAAAGTGGCACCACGGTGGTGACTCCCCCAAAGTGGCACCCCGGTGGTGACTCCCCAAGTGGCACCCCGGTGGTGACTCCCCCAAAGTGGCACCCCGGTGGTGACTCCCTCAAGTGGCACCCAGGTGGTGACTCTCCCCAAGTGTCACCCCATTAGTAACCCTGCCTATTATAATTTATCCTTGTACTTTCATTAACCTTTATAACCCCTGCGGGTTAAGCGCTTCTCCACCATGATAATACCCCCCCCCCCCCAAAAAAAAAAAAAAAAAACTGATTACTTTCATTTTAATATTTTCTGATAAGTTTTTATACATTATTTTTAGTGGAATACCTTTAGCCTATTATTTTCTTGACTGCCTCAGTAAATTGTCACAGTAGTACAGCTGAGATAAATATGAGAATAAATGGGTGGCCCGTGGCCTGGTTGGTAATGCTTTCGCTTCACACGCTGAGGGTCCGTGGTTCGATTTCCGGCGAAGGTGGAAACATTGGGCGTGTTTTCTTACACCTTCTGTCGCTGTTCACCCATCAGTCAAATGGGTACCTGGGTGTTAGTTGACTGGTGTGGGTCGCATCCTGGGACAGAATTGACCTAATTTGCCCGAAATGTTCAGTATAACAAGGGGCTTTCTATATAGTAGTGTATCATTGATATCAGCTATGGTCTGTATACCTTGTACATGTACTTGTAGTAAATAAAGATATTTATCATTTAGTACTAATATGTTTCAGTTCTTCTCTGTTTCTATCTCAATCTGTGACAGGCGCATGCGTCTCGGAGGTGCGGTGAGAACGGGTCTTGGGTTGGTGGTGGACAGGAGAGAGGCTGGACCAACTACACACCTTGCCTGGGTTATGCCGCCCCTACCAATGTTACAACCACCTTCAGCGTCATAATGGTGCGTTCTTCACCCTCTGTACGTGCGCGTTTGTGTATCTGATTTTATTTAATACCTGTGTGTGTGTGTGTGTGTGTGTGTGTGTGTGTGTGTGTGTGTGTGTGTGTGTGTGTGTGTGTGTGTGTGTGTGTGTGTGTGTGTGTGTGTGTGTGTCAGGCTTGACCTCTCCACGATATTAACTGTGGGTGAACTTTTTCCCTACAGGAATACCTGCCGTCGCTGAAGCAGGTCTCTATGATCGGTTACAGCGTCTCCCTCGCCACACTCGTCATCTCTTTTACCATCCTCGCCTCCCTCAGGTGGGTCCTTCGTGTTTGCCGTACCTCGGGTAATTTCCTTGTGTTGCTGTCTCCATAAGGGCCTTTTTTTCTCTTCTTCTTCCTCTCTCTCTCTCTACTCTTCTCTCCTCTCTCTCTCTCTCTCTCTCTCTCTCTCTCTCTCTCTCTCTCTCTCTCTCCTCTCTCTCTCTCTCTCTCTCTCTCTCTCTCTCTCTCTCTCTCTCTCTCCTTCTCTCTCTCTCTCTCCTATCCTCTCTCCATTCACTATTCGTTCATCTCTCTCTCTCTCGTGCATCTCCCTCTCCTCTCGTCATCTCTCATCTCTCTCATTCTCCACGCGATGAATCTTCTTACTGCATCCCACACGCTCTCGCTTCCTCTTTCATGTTCTGCTTCGCTCTCAACACAATCAACTACGAATGTACTTCGCTCTAGCTCTTCCTACCCCAAGCCCGGTTCACCCTGGTATCGCTTAACAACTTCTACCAGGAGTGATCATTGTTCGTGAATTGTACTGCCCTTTCTTTCTGTTCAACACGAATATCTTCTAGTCCTGTGGACGCGAAAGGTGGATGAAATCTGTTCCCTTGAACGCGACTAGTAATAGGATTCATTTCCTAAGTGAGAGAATATTTAAACAACTCGTTAACAACGAGCACTTAATTCAACTTAGGCTAAACTTAATAAAACTGAATATCAGTAATTTGTTGGAACTTTATATTAAAAGTTCCAACTAAATTATACTCCCTCTATCCCTTTCTTCCTTCTTTCCTTCCTTCTCTCCCTCGCTACTTCTCACACAGGCATCGCCTGACCCGGGGCAAGACAGTGTTAGGTCAGGAAGCGATGTGGAAAATTTCTTTCCGTATTACATTTTGAGGTAGATTTTTTTTCCACTCTTATTGGCCTGAAAATATTTTCTTGAGAGGGTAGCGCTACTGGCTCAAAAGTTTGTTTTGAGGTCTGTGTTGTTTTATATCGCGTTCGCAAGTGCTGTGTAATTTTTATATCGCGTTCGCAAGTGCTGTGTAATTTTTTATATCGCGTTCGCAAGTGCTGTGTAATTTTTATATCGCGTTCGCAAGTGCTGTGTAATTTTTATATCGCGTTCGCAAGTGCTGTGTATCTTTTATCGTGGCATAAAATTTATAAAAAAAACTACAAACTGAGTTTTCTTGTCTCATATACGTCACAAATTTTGCAATTCCAATGCAAATTCCTCAATTTATGTTCCGATGCGCAGACATTACTCGGTTTTCCAATAATATAACCAAAATTTTAAACTAGACGTACGTGTGTGTGTGTGTGTGTGTGTGTGTGTGTGTGTGTGTGTGTGTGTGTGTGTGTGTGTGTGTGTGTGTGTGTGTGTGTGTACTCACCTAGTTGAGGTAGCAGGGGTCGAGTCCAAGTTCCTGGCCCCGTCTCTTCACTGGTCGCTACTAGGTCACTCTCCCTGAACCGCGAGCTTTATCATACCTCTGCTTAAAGCTATGTATGGATCCTGCCTCCACTACATCGCTTCCCAAACTATTCCACTTCCTGACTACTCTGTGGCTGAAGAAATACTTCCTAACATCCCTGTGATTCATCTGTGACTTCAACTTCCAACTGTGTCCCCTTGTTGCTGTGTCCCAATCTCTGGAACATCCTGTCTTTGTCCACTTTGTAAATTCCTCTCAGTATTTTGTATGTCGTTATCATGTCCCCCTATCTCTCCTGTCCTCCAGTCTCGTCAGGTTGATTTCCCTTAACCTCTCCCCGTAGGACATACCTCTTAGCTCTGGGACTAGTCTTGTTGCAAACCTTTGCACTTTCTCTAGTTTCTTTACGTGCTTGGCCAGGTGTGGGTTCCAAACTGGTGCCGCATACTCCAATATGAGCCTAACGTACACGGTGTACAGGGTCCTGAACGATTCCTTATTAAGATGTCGGAATGCTGTTCTGAGGTTTGCTAGGCGCCCATATGCTGCAGCAGTTATTTGGTTGATGTGCGCTTCAGGAGATGTGCCTGGTGTTATACTCGCCCCAAGATAACAAGGGGTTTGTAGTCTCTGGCCGCCTAGACTGTACTCCGTCTGCGGTCTTCTTTGCACTTCCCCAATCTTCATGACTTTGCACTTGGTGGGGTTGAACTCCAGGAGCCAATTGCTGGACCAGGTCTGCAGCCTGTCCAGATCCCTTTGTAGTTCTGCCTGGTCTTCGATCGAATGAATTCTTCTCATCAACTTCGTCATCTGCAAACAGAGACACCTCGGAGTCTATTCCTTCCGTCATGTCATGTACTCACCTATTTGTGGTTGCAGGGGTCGAATCTTAGCTCATGTGTGTGTGTGTGTGTGTGTGTGTGTGTGTGTGTGTGTGTGTGTGTGTGTGTGTGTGTGTCGCGGTAGCTGCGCGATCTGAGAAAGGTATCCCCGTATCCTGTAAGCCCAGTCCCCTCTACCTCAGTGCACGCAGAAGTACGCTAAAATTGTCTAATGTAGTTAATTATCGGCAATGGAGATTTGAAGCCTATCGGAAGAGCCATTCTCGAGTTTTATAGCGGAAACTGTAACGCGTATTTCTTCAGTAAAAACGGCCAAAGCCCAAAACCATTTCGAACCTCTTATGACACACCAGTTCTGAAGGTTCAAAGCCTGACAAGGACTGATGCCTCAATATACAACTTTAGTCTTGAAGTCGCTCAGAAGTTGTATTCTCTAATTATCGACGTCGAAGGTTTGAAAACGAGTGGAAAAGTTATTCGCAAATTATCGCGTGAAACACCAGTGTTGCCGCCAAGTATGACAGGTGTTCCAGGTGCGTGAAACAAGTGTTGCGGAAACGTAGAGTATTTGTTGACGACACGTATAGCAGGTGTTGCCAACAAGTGTGGTAGCAGCATCACCCTTGATTTAAAGCAGACCTTTACAATTATAGACAACGTTTCACTCCAGGTAGAACTTTATCAAGTGATACAGCAAAACGTTCTCGAAAACATTCCCTTTGCAGTTGACACAGGTGGGTTCTCCGACTACCGTCTGACAACCATGTCGGGGAGGGCATACCTCTCTCGCTCCAGTTCTCACCCCTGGCCCATATTTTTCCACTTTTTTTCACTCTTCCTGAGGAAGTCTCGATATATATACGAAATATGGGTTTGGACGGCGCGCGTGAGGTACATACGAATCACTCGTTGATCTGAATCCCGAGTGAGGCCAGTCAGTGTGTGAATGTTGTAACAGTATGGTATATCAAGGCTGATGGAAGACGTCAAATTCTTTCGCTGCTTGTGTTCTCGCGGCCTCTGTGAGTAAAATATTTGAATGCTACCACGTATAGGTGTGTACTCGCCTAGTAGTGGTTGCAGGGGTCGAGTTACAGCTCCTGGCCCCGCCTCTTGCTTGGTCGCTACTAGGTCCACTTTCTCCTTGCTCCAAGAGCTTTATCGTACCTCTTCTTAAAGCCATGTATGGATCCTGCCTCCACTACGTTACTCACCAGATTGTTCCACTTCCTGACACCTCTGTGACTGAAGAAATATTTCCTAACATCCCTCTGACTCGTCTTAGTTTTCAACTAGCAGTTTTGACCCCTTGTTGCTGTGTCCCATCTCTGAAACATTCTGTTCCTATCCACTTTGTCAAATCCTACGTGTATCTCTGTACACACTACAACAGCGGTTCTACATGTAAATCATATTCACAACAAAATATAGCGAATGTAATTCGCCCATTATACCCCTCCCCACCTCCCTTACTACGCCAGCAAGCGCTCCTAAATCACACGTCATGATGTTCTTCTTGGAGAGAGAGTTTGTATAAAGAGTTGAGCCACTCCACGAGGGAGGATTCAACCGCATTCACTGGATTAGCGAACGATTAATTTGTTTACAGTTCTTCTTCTGTTTCTCAGTCTATAATTTTGCGTTGAGGATTGTCACTGTGGAGGCTTCACACTTCGGTTTTTGTTATGAGAAGGGGATGGAGGGAGAAAAGGAAGGAAGAAAGAAGGAAGGAAGAGAGGAAGAGGGAGGTTGTGGTACATCATTATACTTTAATTAATCACTCAGACTTCCTCTTACGACAGATAATCACGGAAATTACCCCCCTAGGCGAATAAATGACAGGCGGGGATATAATGAGATCATCAGTGCAACAAACAGGTTCATCAAGGGTCACTGATATTATTAACTACTGAATTGACGTGGAATTAATAGATGGTTCAACTTGACGGATTGCTGGGCGAGACGTGCGAGCGTGTTCCATAATAACCTTGCTCTCCTAGCAGTAAATAGGCACCCTTGTGTTAGTCGACTATTTTGGGCCGTAACTTAAAGGACCGCCACACTATTTGGCTTTCTTGGATTATTAACCATCCTGCATTACTAATAATAGTAATCATCTTCGTTTTTACCTTCTTCGTCTTGGTTTTCTCTCGTATTTTTCGGTTTGCTCCTCTTCGTCTTGGTCTCCTCCGTTTTTTTCTTCTAATTTCAATCTAAATTTAATCTAACCCAAGATAATTCCAGTAGGTTTCAGAGTGTTAGAAAGGTAAACTTAGGTATTGAAAGGCAAGCCACACGACTCGTGGAGTGATCCAAGTCAAACGACCTGTCACGATCACAAACAACCTTCTATGACCCTATCTTACAGTGACCTGTCCCTGGTGTTCAGTTGTATTCCCTAGTGATTCTCTCTCTCTCTCTCTCTCTCTCTCTCCATTTTTTAAGTCAGTTTCAATAACAAGATCGAGAACAAAATGCCAACCATTTCCTCTCTTTCTGATTGGATTTTTCCCCCTATGATCGTCTCGGGCTGTTGCTTGGTCGATCTCATCCTGGTTTACGAGGTTGGTTGACATCCATCATCTCTGTTACGACAGTCGGGATAGCATCCTGACCTAATTTATGTTTGGGTCTCTCTCTCTCTCTCCCTTTTTCTTTCTTTTTTCTTTCTTTTTCTTTGTGTGTGTGTGTGTGTGTGTGTGTGTGTGTGTGTGTTGTGTGTGGTTAGCTCTGTTTATCTATAAGATTGTTTCAGGTGTTGAACCTCAGTCTCTGTTACCTGATGTAATCTTCATACATGGAAATATTAACAAAAAAATACATTTTATAGAGAATAACCATACTTTTGCACACAGAAAAGGAACTACTAAATTCGAGGGTCCACTGTATTTACTTGCATGTGAAGGATTGCTTACATTCGCCAGGTTAGGTAAAGGCGCCCCTGGAGTACGTTCGCCAGGCTGGGTAAAGCCACACCTGGCGTTCGTTCGCCAGGCTGGGTAAAGCCACACATGGAGTTCGTCACTGATCCTACATCTTGTCTTGGAGTGAAAAGATTCGATTATTGAACTCCGTGGAGCGTGTGGGAGGGCTGGGAAATGAATAGGTCTTTTTGAAAAGATGGCTAGGTGGGTCGGTGGCTGACTGGGTGGCTGTCTGGCTGGAAAGGTGGGTGAGTTAGTAGATAGACGGCTAGGTGGGTGAGCGAGTAGATTTGGCCTAGATGATTGTGTGTGGGGCCAAGTAGAAAGATCGGTGTGTGGGTGGGTAGATAGACAGGTAGTACCTTTTGTAACATCGCAGAGTAAATGAGTAGTAAGACCGTCTCACAAATGAAAGATCCCGGGTTCGACCCCTTCCCCCAAAGCCAGTGAAATGTATGGGTACGTTTGACGTTCCTGCTGTCCATGCCCACCTAGCTTTAAAAGTAGGTGTGTGTGTGTGTGTGTGTGTGTGTGTGTGTGTGTGTGTGTGTGTGTGTGTGTGTGTGTGTGTGTGTGTGTGTGTGTGTGTGTGAAAACTATTTTTGCTGAATGTTTTAGTCACGGTAAAATATATCCGTGCATTGTTGTGCATTTAATGATGGTAATGAAAATAATCGTAGTGATTAAGGATTCTCTCTCTCTCTCTCTCTCTCTCTCTCTCTCTCTGTTGAACATTTATCATGGAATTGATCTCTGGGTGACCTACGTGCTCAGAGTACTCCATGACTGCCGCAGCTACATACAGCTTGGTCAAGTTGCCCTCTCCAAGGTGAAGTGCCGTGATGCTAGTCAGAGACTTGGGAATTGGTGCCATTCTCTCTCTCTCTCTCTCTCTCTCTCTCGCTCTCTCTCTCTCCTTAGTACCGCCCATTATCTGTGTGTTGTTGTGCGACTCACACAGATTTGGCTGGCCCCTCCAGAATATAATAATGTAATCACCCGTGTTTCAGGAAGTTGAGGTGCCCAAGGAACCTGCTCCACCTTCACCTGTTTGGCTCGTTCATGCTGCGAGCGCTGGTGGTGTTGGTGAAGAACTCCTCCTATGTTGAGAGTGTCGAGGTGAGCCCTTATCCTCAGACGTACGCTAAGAAACATACAGGTGGTCACATAACCTGCCATATCCTTAAAAAAAAAAAATCCCCGTTACACGCCCACACGCAGTCACTGTCCACACGGAATCATACATCAACTGACCATTTGGCTAACCTCTCTGCCACCCTGCCCTCTCATCCAGCCCTCTCGTCCAGCCCTCTCGCCCACAAGTAAGAAAACTTGTTAAACCTTTGGGAACACAGCGCACAATTTTTTGTTTACAGTTGTCTTCTTCAGAATACAACAGGTGTTATATGCACATGAACATTATGTAGAGTTAAATAATACAGTCATATACTGTGATTTATTTCTGATCAAAAGAGACATTCTCCAGTTATTTCACAAATACCAGTTTGATTAATAAATTTGGCATAATAAACTTACGAGACCTTAAATCATGGCAAAGCTTCCACCCGCCCACCATCCAAGTTTCCATCACCCGCCCGCCATAACATTACCTTAGCCACGATTCAGCGCAAGGATATGAAACTCTGGGTGCCCGAAACAAACTTGAGGCCCTGGTAATGACCAGGCGGATACTGAGGCGAAGGCTGCCACATTCTTCGGCTTGTTTTTTTAATGGGCCCTACAGATTAGCAGCAAGTTACACAACAAAGTTTGGCAGAATACGAGTATTTGAACCTACTCTTTCCACAAGAATCACAAAATTATTTCTGTAAATTGGGGACTGGGCAACACACACCATTAACGGCCATGTCCTTTCGAGTGATCCTGCTCCTCTCAGTGCAACAACTAGTGACCTGCTGCTAAGTATGATGCATATTTTGACTACCTGCCGGTAAGTATTTTTCGTCTAGGTTTTGATACTTTTCGGTACAACCTCCAGGTTCCAGGGGGTGCCCGCAGGAACCTCGGTAATTTAAAAAAAAAAATCTTTTACTAACACCAGATGATTTTTTTCTAACATATACTAAATATTTTAACTATGAATGTCTTTGTTGGTTTACTGTGTTTTTTTTTTTTTTATAAATCGGTTTTACTTGGGTGAGGGTTTTTAGTTGGCGAGTTTATGGTGCATGTGAAGGCGAGAAGAAAATCCTGTGCCCGTAGCATAGATAACTGAATGGTCCACAAAGATGGGATTGGCTAACCTTGGGAACAGTGACTGACTTCGTGCATAACAGTGAACCTCAGACATCTTCAGAACAGTGACTGACATCGTTCATAACAGACCAACGCCACTCTGGTATGGAAGTCTGCTCAAGTGACAGGTGCAACTAGCACTCTCACGCTGGGTAATGGGTCGAGAAAGTGGATGGACTGTGAGAGCAAGTTCTGTTTATACTAAGCCCGTCGACACCCCTGCCACCTCCCCAGCACTACTACAGGTCGACCCAGCTTCCCTTTCCCACACTGCCCCTCTCCCTACATATCACTTCTACATATTTTGTTTTTACTCCTGTCAGCAGTGGCGGACCTATATTTTTGGGGCCCCTGAGGCTTGAACTGCTATGGGGGCCCCTTCGCAAGCCCTTCTCATACAGACTACAGTCGCTTCTGGGGCCCCTCTGGAATTAGGGGCCCCTGAAGCTTAAGCCTCATTAGTTTCATGGTAGATCCGTCCCTGCCTGCCTGTCAGTCTTCCATTTTTTATATATTTTCGCTCTTGCTTCTGTTGGGCAACTAGTAACGTTAGGTTAGGTGACGTTCGTCAGGAAACAGGACAAAAACTAAAAGTAACTAGTACCGTTCCCGAAGTTCTCTCGTTTGTAACACTTTGGTCATTGGCAGCTAACCATACGGAAACACGGGGTAACTTAATTAAGATAGCCTAGCCAAACCCATCTTGTGGAGCCAGTGGAATGTGTATAGTGTATGTCAGTGGAATGTGTATAGTGTATGTCAGTGCCTAATTTAGCTATTAGCAAATACGTTATTAAATTAATTTCACGCATTAATCGTATTTTTTCTCCAGTAGTGAAATATACGTACACACTTATAGCGGAGTTAAATTTCGGTGACGGCAGGACGGGGGTGAAAGAAAACGAATTCTTCATAATACTCGGTGATTCACGGATCTGACAGTGATAAATAAATGATGAATAGGGTAATTTAATATTGAACACGACGATAGATGGTAGGTCCCACCACACGTCACGATAGATGGTAGGTCCCACCACACGTCACGATAGATGGTAGGTCCCACCACACGTCACGATAGATGGTAGGTCCCACCACACGTCACGATAGATGGTAGGTCCCACCACACGTCACGATAGATGGGAGTCCCACCACACGTCACATAGATGGTAGGTCCCACCACACGTCACATAGATGGTAGGTCCCACCACACGTCACGATAGATGGTAGGTCCCACCACACGTCACGATAGATGGTAGGTCCCACCACACGTCACGATAGATGGGAAGTCCCACCACACGTCACAATAGATGGTAGGTCCCACCACACGTCACGATAGATGGTAGGTCCCACCACACGTCACGATAGATGGGAGGTCCCACCACACGTCACGATAGATGGTAGGTCCCACCACACGTCACGATAGATGGTAGGTCCCACCACACGTCACGATAGATGGTAGGTCCCACCACACGTCACGATAGATGGGAAGTCCCACCACACGTCACAATAGATGGTAGGTCCCACCACACGTCACAATAGATGGTAGGTCCCACCACACGTCACGATAGATGGTAGGTCCCACCACACGTCACGATAGATGGTAGGTCCCACCACACGTCACGATAGATGGTAGGTCCCACCACACGTCACGATAGATGGTAGGTCCCACCACACGTCACGATAGATGGTAGGTCCCACCACACGTCACGATAGATGGTAGGTCCCACCACACGTCACGATAGATGGTAGGTCCCACCACACGTCACGATAGATGGTAGGTCCCACCACACGTCACGATAGATGGTAGGTCCCACCACACGTCACGATAGATGGTTGGTCCCACCACACGTCACGATAGATTGTAGGTCCCACCACACGTCACGATAGATGGTAGGTCCCACCACACGTCACGATAGATGGTAGGTCCCACCACACGTCACGATAGATGGTAGGTCCCACCACACGTCACGATAGATGGTAGGTCCCACCACACGTCACGATAGATGGTAGGTCCCACCACACGTCACGATAGATGGTAGGTCCCACCACACGTCACGATAGATGGTAGGTCCCACCACACGTCACGATAGATGGTAGGTCCCACCACACGTCACGATAGATGGTAGGTCCCACCACACATCACGATAGATGGTAGGTCCCACCACACGTCACGATAGATGGTAGGTCCCACCACACGTTACGATAGATGGTAGGTCCCACCACACGTCACGATAGATGGTAGGTCCACCACAAGTCACGATAGATGGTAGGTCCACCACACGTCACGATAGATGGTGGTCCACCACAACGTCACGATAGATGGTAGGTCCCACCACCGTCACGATAGATGGTAGTCCCACACACGTCACGATAGATGGTAGGTCCCACCACACGTCACGATAGATGGTAGGTCCCACCACACGTCACGATAGATGGTAGGTCCCACCACACGTCACGATAGATGGTAGGTCCCACCTACACGTCACGATAGTGGTAGGTCCCACCACACGTCACGATAGATGGTAGGTCCCACCACACGTCACGATAGATGGTAGGTCCCACCACACGTCACGATAGATGGTAGGTCCCACCACACGTCACGATAGATGGTAGGTCTCCACACGTCACGATAGATGGTAGGTCCACACACGTCACGATAGATGGTAGGTCGACCACCACGTCACGAGATGGTAGGTCCCACACACGTCACGATAGATGGTAGGTCCCACCACACGGCTGAGTCCGTAATGTCTTAAGCCTTTTTTAACTTAATAAAAAAGGCCTTAACTTACAATTGTTGGTAAAGTTTAAAAAGCCAATACTATATTTATGAATATAAAATTAAGTGGTTTCGTAAATTAAGGCAACACTGCGGTTAAAGGCGTGTTGAGAAGGTTGCAGTTCATTACCTCTGTAACTTGCTCAACTATCAAAACTTTGAGGTCCAGTCCCTGGACCCATTATGTACCTCTGTAATCTTTTGACTACCGCCCACAGGATGGGTATGTGGTGACTACCGCCCACAGGATGGGTATGTGGTGACTACCGCCCACAGGATGGGTATGTGGTGACTACCGCCCACAGGATGGGTATGTGGTGACTACCGCCCACAGGATGGGTATGTGGTGACTACCGCCCACAGGATGGGTATGTGGTGACTACCGCCCACAGGATGGGTATGTGGTGACTACCGCCCACAGGATGGGTATGTGGTGACTACCGCCCACAGGATGGGTATGTGGTGACTACCGCCCACAGGATGGGTATGTGGTGACTACCGCCCACAGGATGGGTATGTGGTGACTACCGCCCACAGGATGGGTATGTGGTGACTACCGCCCACAGGATGGGTATGTGGTGACTACCGCCCACAGGATGGGTATGGGGTGCATAATAAACATATTAAACTGAAGAACGAAAGGTTGTGGCGGCTCCTAGTGTGGGACTGGCCAGGGTCGGTTCATTTCTACTTGTATACCTGGAGAGGGTTTCAGGGGGTCAACGCCCCCGCGGCCCGGTCTGAGACCAGGCCTCGTGGTGGATCAGGGTCTGATCAACCAGGCTGTTCCTGCTGTCTGCACCACACAAGTTCCTCCTCATGAACCCCTCAAGGGAGGTTCCTTGACGCTGGTGAGGGGCTCTTGGTCTAGAGAATTGGATCTGTGCTCCAGTTCCCTGAATTTAGCCTGAATACCTTCCATCCTCCCCCCCACAGGCGCTATATAATCCCTACGGGTTTAGTGCTCCCCATAATCCTTAGGAAACAAATTGCATAATTGTACCTCTCCGTCACACACAGGTGGCCATGTTGTCGTAAAATTTATAGTATATAAAGAATGTTAATAAAAGTTGTAGGTGAAATT